CCCAGCCCAGGGAGTCCAGCCCAGGGAGTCCAGGACAGCCCAGGGAGTCCAGGACAGCCCAGGGAGTCCAGCACAGCCCAGGGAGTCCAGCCCAGCCCAGCCCAGGGAGTCCAGCACAGCACAGGGAGTCCAGGACAGCCCAGGGAGTCCAGCACAGCCCAGGGAGTCCAGCACAGCCCAGGGAGTCAGCACAGCCCAGGGAGTCCAGCCCAGCCCAGCCCAGGGAGTCCAGCACAGCACAGGGAGTCCAGGACAGCCCAGGGAGTCCAGCACAGCCCAGGGAGTCCAGGACAGCCCAGCCCAGGGAGTCCAGCACAGCCCAGGGAGTCAGCACAGCCCAGGGAGTCCAGCACAGCCCAGCCCAGGGAGTCCAGCACAGCACAGGGAGTCCAGGACAGCCCAGGGAGTCCAGCACAGCCCAGGGAGTCCAGCACAGCCCAGGGAGTCCAGGACAGCCCAGCCCAGGGAGTCCAGCACAGCCCAGGGAGTCAGCACAGCCCAGGGAGTCCAGCACAGCCCAGGGAGTCAGCACAGCCCAGGGAGTCCAGCACAGCCCAGCCCAGGGAGTCCAGCACAGCCCAGGGAGTCTAGCACAGCCCAGCCCAGGGAGTCCAGCACAGCCCAGCCCAGGGAGTCCAGCACAGCCCAGCCCAGGGAGTCCAGCACAGCCCAGGGAGTCCAGCCCAGCCCAGGGAGTCCAGCACAGCCCAGCCCAGGGAGTCCAGCACAGCCCCGAGAGCCGCCTGCTGGGCTCGAGGCTGTGAGAACCAGGCCTGAGTGACGATTCAGAACTCCTTGGGTAATGGGGACTAGACCCATTAGTCCTGCTCAGTGTTGGGTTGATGTGGCATGGCATTGAATATCAGCAGCATCCTCTGGCTGCTTGCTTTCTGCCCAGCACTGGGGAAGGAGAGACAGAAACAGCCTCTGGCTGCCCAGGCTGTGGGCCCAAACCCGTCCCTCTGCGAGGTGAGGCATGTCCTCTGGACACACTGTCCGTGAGCGCTGGCCTGGCTGTCGGGAGCTTACGTCTGTCAGATCTGGGTCTCCAGTGATGCTAAGCTCCCAAGTTCCCTCAGAGGCTGGAGTCTGGCTCCCCTAGCTCAGGTGGTGGCAGGGGTGCCAGGGTAGGACCCTAGGGAGCACTCGTTTTGTCTTGCAAGCCAGGTACTGGATTTCAAATCAAGGTGTAGACTTCATTGACTGTACCTTTCCTGAGGCATGTCTAGGTGCTCTGCCACGTGGGGGCGGTGTGGAAGGGGAGGGAAAAGGTGATTCTTGGCTTACTGCTTCTTTGTCTTTTCTTGGTACCCTGAGAGCGGGCACTGCCCTCTGATTTCATCTGTCTTCGTAGCTCTTGCGAGGGCGATCTGTTGCATTGGCGGCTCGATGCACCCAGCCGTCTTCCTCATGCCCCGTGTCCTCCGCCTCTGCTCTGGATCTTTCCACAGCCTTGTGTGGTGTCTTCGGGGTCACACTCAGCCATGTTTCATCTTGTTAGAGTTCATCCAAGAAACGTTGTACCAAGTTGGAAGTTTAGCCTGCATTAAGAACGTTGAAATCCACGCCTGTGTTTATGGTGACTCGCTTGTGTGTCCGTTAGAGCCCTTGGTGTTTGAGATCATCTGTCTCATTGTGCTAAGGCTTTGGGGTGTCACTACGCTTTGTGTTCACTCCAACACAATCACACTTTTTCTTTTTCTTTTTTTTTTTTGGCAGTACCGTGTTCTGGTGTGTTTTTTAGGGTGTCGGTCTTGTTCCTCTCATTAAATAACATTCGTAAGCATCGCCTCCTTCCTGCCGATATACATGGTCGGTTTCTTGTTTGCATTTCCGGAAGGTTCGTTTGGGAGGCGATCTGCTTCACAAGCTCTCTAACGAAGACTTTGTGAATCCCTTGGCTGTTAGAGTTTGAGATCATTTGTTTCCAGTTTTGTTTGTTTTTGGTTTTGTTTTGGGTACCTGATTTCTCTGGCCGAACTCTCCAGTAAAATGTTGAATAGAAACGGTGAAATACATCCACAGCAATCCTTCGGTCTCTACCGTTAAGTGTGCTGTCGGCTGCTTCGTGCAGTTTAATGTTAGCATTACGGTACCTTCTGATTTTCTTTCACTTGAAGTGCACGTTACACAGAAGTGCTCGCCTTGGAGCACATGTGCTAAAATTGGAACAACAAATCCTTGGTCATATTCAGTGAATCAAAACCAAAATATCCACCATATACTTCATTCTCATATCTAGAAAATATTTTAGAACAATTATAACAAACAATAGAATTAAGCCAGGCCATTTTGCCAACATGGATTGTGGAAGTGAATAATGTAACCAGCTGGGTCATTTTTTAATGGTTATTTTGACCCATTTGTGACTTGATATTCAGAATAGGAAAATGTAAAGGAACAAGGGCCTTTAGTTTCACAGAAATCTTTTTTATTTAAAGATGTATTTATTTTTATTGGAAAGTCAGATATACAGAGAGGAGAGACAGAGAGGAAGATCTTCTGTCTGCTGATTCACTCCCCAAGTGTCTGCAACAGCCAGAGTAGAGCTGATCTGAAACCAGGAACCAGGAGTCTACTCCGGGTCTCCCATGCAGGCACAGGGTCCCAAAGCCTTGAGCCATCTTGCACTGCTTTCCCAGGCCACAAGCAGGGAGCTGGATGGGAAATGGGCAGCTGGGATACAAACTGACACCCCATATGGGATCCTGGTGCATGCAAGGCGAGGACTTCAGCCACTAGGTTACTGCATTGGACACTGTTTCACAGAAATCTTAAGGTCAACAAAGAAGTGCAGGAGTTGAAGGCACCTCCAGTTTTAAACTGTGTTCCAGAAAAGATTGTGGGCTAAGAGAGATTAGTTTGAAAAAAGCAGTAGGAATTCAGTAAGGGACAAAAAATCTTTGCACATTCAAGTCGGAGGGGTGGTCATTTACAGTCCCAGTGTAAAGGAGGAGCTTTTTTACCACTGGGAGATGTCCAGAAGTGGAGGATGTCCAGAAGTGGAGCACAGCAGGGAGGAGCCTGCGGGGCCCTGTCAGCACAGGCACTCGGGCAGAGGGCTGGAGACTCGATCGCGTGTACTCATGGATGATACGTCTTGTCAGAAGTCTGAGTCACAAGGATTGGGAACCCATATGACACCAGGGGTGGGGGTGGGGGAGAGTCAGATATACACAGAGGAGGAGAGATAGAGAGGAAGTGGAGCTGCTGGGATTAGAACCGGTGCCCATATGGGATCCCGGAGTGTTCAAGGTGAGGACTTTAGCCACTAGGCCACTCCGTTGGGCCCCTGCTTCATTTGCTTTTAAGTTTATAAGAGAACACATCTCTGCTACTTTGAACATCTTCAAGGGGTTCTGAAACTCAGTGTCTGAATAGTGCAGGGCAGCAGGCACAGGCTTCCTGATTTTAAGCTCTCAGTGCGGGAGAGAAAGGCTGTGAGTCAGGTCAGCCTGCCCCTCATGCTGGACAGCCCTTGCTTTCCCTTGTCCCTGTGTCCAGGGACCCATCATGTGGGGCCAGCCAGGGGTGTTCCTTTCCAAGAGGCCGAGGAGGTAAGAACCTCGGAGCTGACGTGTGGGACGCCCACTGTTGTGAACTGACGTAGGGCATGGGCCCAACGGTGTCTGCCCAGATTATACAGCATGAGGGACTGGTGTCCACCCTGCGGCCTGGGATTCTGGGTCAGCTTTTCAGAGCCAGGCGGCCTTCGTCTTAGGCCACATTTCAGTCAGGCAAGGCAGTCATTAGATCTGATGTCCTGCTCCCTGTCTTTCATGCACCTGTTCTTTTAGGAGATGCACTGCGTAACTCTGAAACCAAACAAGACCAAATTAAACCATCAGTTGTGGTGTTGCTAAGGTCTTGGATCAGAATATTTTAAGGAAAGCGAGGAGAGGCCTTCCACAGAATGAAGTAGAACTCTCTAGTTCAGCCCAGCTGTGAACTCCAGCTTTGCTTTTTGGCAGCCTGTCTGCCGTGGAACCCTTGGTTCTTAATCTTGGATATCAGCTGCAGTGAACCGTGAGCTGTGCTCATGTGTTTTGTCTGTCCTAAGAGACCATCGCTATTGGCATCTTATCTCACTTATCAGAGTATATTTCATATCTTGGTATTGCCCCTTAAGAATTTTTCATATATTCGAGGGAAATGAAATCTATACTTGAAAGGCATATATAGTTGAATATTGATCGTCATGCTATTCAAGAATCACCAAGATCAGATATCAGTTCAGATGTCCATCAGCAGATCAATGAATCAGGAAAATGCAGTATTTCTACACATTGGAATACCATCCGTTCATTTGTTTAAAACATAAATCAGTCCTGTCTTGCACATGGATGCATTCTAGGGCACATTATACGAGTCCAGCACAGAAAGACATTGTGTGATGCTATTATCTGTAAGGTCCAAAGACACTGGTCAAGTAACAGGGAAGTTACCAAAGAATGCTGACTTAGGTAAGAGCAATTCAGTGGACATGTCTTGTACGACACGGTGACTTCAGTTAAAAACTCTGCTGTTTGAAAATCTCTCATAAGAGTCAGAGAGGGAGAGAGAATCTTCCGTCTGCTGGTTACTCCTCAGGTGGCTGCAGTGGCCAGGCCTGGGCCAGGCTGAAACCAGGAGCCAGCAGCTTCTTCTGGGTCTCCCACAGAGGTGCAGGGGCCCACACACGTGGACCATCCTCCGCTGCTTTACCGGGCACATGAGCAGTGAGCTGGACTCCAAGCAGCGTGCATCTGGGATGCCACCGTCACAGGCAGTGACCGAACCTGCTGTGCCACGAAAGGTCCACCCTCTCGCCGCAGAGTAATTCAAGTTTTCTTACCCCCAAACACATGTGTAATACATATGCTAATTAGCTTGGTGAAGCCGGTCTGCAGTGTACACATGCTTCAGATTACCAGGTTTTACTTGACTGGTTAACTTACAAAAGGATACAAACTTACCTGAACAACTGCCTTGCAGGGATTTAACATTTCTTTCTCTCCTAGGGCAAAGTTAGCCATCGGATGTCGCCAGCTGCTTGAGATGGCGCACACCATGCAGCAGTGCAGCGCGTCTGTGTACATGGAAGCCAGACACAGGGGCCGATGTGAGGGGCTGCAAGCCCAGCCGTAGGCCCTCGGTGCCAGCTTGTACCTGAAAGGGAATTACAGCTATCTGTACGAACGAGAGGAGCTTTTAATCTGGTCGCTTTGTGAGCCAACCCCCAGCCATTGAAGGAGTGTTTCGTGAGCACAGCCTCTCTTACTGATGCTGCAGGAAGCCTCGGGCATCTGTCGTGTCAACGGTGAGCCCAGCTCCCCAGGCTTGCAGTTCCTCCCTGCCTCTGTGCTGGGAGCTGGGGCCCTCAGGGAAAGAACACGCCCCCTGCCTTCCTGGGCACCTTGGCCTCTCCTAGGAAGCCTCAGGGGCCGCCTTAGCATCTCTGGACCCTGACTGTGGGCAGCTGACCCGAGGGAGGCACTGTGAATCCCTAGGGAGAGCTAAGATGTGGCCACGCTCATCACATCCACAAATGGAATCGTGCTCTGGGCAGCTTTGTGAGTGAGTGCCAGCCCCAGAATGCCACCACCCAACTTACCAAGACCTCGGCTGCTGTTTCTGCACAGCCTCCTCCCTTCTCTGGGCTGGTCACTTCGGGGTGCGTTTCTGATGGGGAACAGGGCCACCCCTCTGAATTTCCGTTAAATATGAAGCATGAATTTATGAAATGGTGGCAGTGACTAGCAGCTTGCCCCTGGTTTGCTGCTAAAGCAGATGTTTTGTGAACTTGTTCCTCTTCTGATTTTATGTTGGAAACTCAGTGTTTACTGGAGTGTATTATGCTTTTGTTAATACATTAGATTAAATCCAATTTGACATGATTATAATGTCAAATTATGTTTGGTACAGTTTTCCACTTTGTCTTCTCGGTTGGGTTGCTGAGCAGCCCAGAGTGGTCCTGTCCTCTGATGACCTCTGCAGGACACTGCAGAGTCTGCGCAGGAGGCGGGACTGCGCCTTCAGGGATGATCTGAGCAGACAGAAGCCTCAGGAAGCCGTCTGCCCGCTGCTCTGTTCCCCAGGAGCCCCGTGTGCACATCTTTGCCCCAGCCCCTTGGCTGTCCTGCCTGGTGATTGCTTGGTTCTGAATCACTGCCCCCCTCACTTCTTATCTCAGCCTTGTTCAGGTCACACTGCCCAGTGACCTCACTCTCCAAAAAGTGTCGCTCACACGCTGTACACATCTGTCTTAGTAGTTAATCCGGGTCATTTCTCTTTGAACTTTGTTCTTGCAGTCTTGCCACTGTGGATTAGGGATGTTACAGTTCTTATCAGCCTGGTTCCCTTGGAATGTCAGGGCTGGTCGTCTCCCCACTCTCTGCTCTTTGTCGCCTTACTTTTATATTACCCTGTTGCATGTTTCTTCCACCTGAACCTTGGGTGGCCCCTCTGGGCTGGAGTAGCTCACTTCGCTTCTGGAACAGAAACTCCTTGTGGAAGTGTTTGCTTTTGGTGATCAGACCCTTGGAAAAGCAGCTGGGCCAGTCAAGTCTCCCTTCTTGGGCTGTGAGCAGAAGGAACTAAGGGGAAAGTCGCACCGGGAGCAGCACCCAAACAATGATTCCTTCCCCAGTCCAGTTCTCTCCCAGGAAAACCCACAAGACCCTCCAGTTTGAAGGCTTTTGGCTCTCTCCATATTCTGGACTCCACGAGCAACTGACCAAGAAAGAACTGGGTCTCTTGTGCCTGGGTTGTCTTGTCAGGACTTGCAGTGTAGATGAGAACTCCCTGGATGGGTTCCCCTTTGACCTGGTGGGTGGAAAGCACCCGGAACAGAACTGAAGCTCTCCGAGGGAGTGCCACCTCCCCGCAGGGTCTTCAGCCCACGTTTACTTGGGTGCTGCCTTGGTCACCTGGCCAGGAACTTACTGAACTGGCGCTCCAGCTGTTAGGACATGATGCACCCACTTTGGCCTTCTGTGATGTGGAGGTCACTCCTGCTTGGTGGCTCTGGTTAGTTCTGCCTGCAAAATCCTGTTGCCCCATGACTCTGACTGGGCCCCAGGAGGGCAGAGGTGCAGGAACGGTGTGCTGATGTCACATGCCCAAGTTCAAGGCTGAACAGCACATCTTCAGATCTTTGCAGCATGTGCTCCACAGGGACACCCCAAGGGCTGGCTGTGCTGCCAGGTTGGTGGACTTCTGTGTTTTAGAATAACCTTTCCTGCACATTCAGCTTATTCTTTTTTGTTTCTGGCTATTAGCAAAAACAAGAATTGACCCATATGGATGTGTAGACATATTTTGTCTCTTGTTATAAGAATCCTTTGGGCCTGGCATGGTACCCTACCGGCTCAAGATCCTTGCCTTGTATGCGCTGGTTCTAATCCTGGCCACCCCGCTTCCCATCCCTGCCTGTGGCCCGGGAAAACAGTCAAGGACGGCCCAAGGCCTTGGGACCCTGCAGCCACTTGAGAGATCCAGAAGGGGCTCTAGGCTCTTGCCTTCGGACCTGTTCAGCTCTGTTGCAGCTGCTTGGGGAGTGGGTGGTCCTCTGTATATCTGACTTTCCCATGAAATTTTTTTTTAAAGAATCCTTTATAAATTCTAGTTTTATAAAATTGGAATCCCGGGGGGGGGGGGTGCATCAAATTGGCTGTGGATGTCTAAAGCAGTGGGATTGCTCAGAATGCTGTGTCCATAGCCAGAAGAGGGGGTAGGTGTAAGACACCCACACCTTGGCTTCCAGCCCAATTAGAACCCAGTTTTGCCCTCTGTTCCTTCCCAGTCTTCCCAGCGTGGGACTTGAGTGCCATGGATGGTTGCCTGAATTCCTAGTAAGAACCTAAGCCTCTTCCTTTAGAAGTTTACTGAGTAGGGCCTGGCGCAGTAACCTAGCGGTTGGAGTCCTCACCTTACACATGCCAGGATCCCGTATGGGCAATGTTTCTGGTCCCGGTGGCCCTACTTTCCACCCAGCTCCCTGCTTGTGGCCTGGGAAAGCAGTCAAGGACCGCCCAAAGCCTTGGGAACCTGTACCCATGTAGGAGACCCAGAAGAAGCTCCTGGCTCCTGGTTTCGGATTGGTGCAGCTCTGTCTGGCCGTTGGGGTCACTTGGGGAGTGAATCATCGGACAGATCTTCCTCTCCGTCTCTCCCCCTCTCTGTACATCTGAATTTCCAATAAAAATAAATCTTAAAGAAACAAAAAGTGGTACACTAAGTGTTGTCTGCCTGGGAGTGAGGATGCACGCCCCTCCGCCAGGCCCACTGGGAGCTGCTGTTTCCGGCGGCTTCCCCTCTGCAGCTTGTACCATCAGTGGAGCCAGTGCAGCCTGAGACCACCCACACCACTCCTCGGTAGTTCCTTCCTTTTCATTCTGTCTTGAAGATGGATCAGTTTACACAGCAATTAGAAGACTACTTTGGGGGATTTCTCTTTAATTTTTGGAATGAGGTGCTGTGTTTACAGTGCAGGTTTCTGTGAGCCTGTCCCACTTGGTCAGGTATCTAGAACTGAGACTGCATTGTCCCGATGCTAGAACCTTCTGAAACTTCACAAAGCACCAGCACAGCGCTGTAGTTTCCTCCTGCAGCCTGGCAAGTTTAAATGCTCTGAATTGTGCAGGTTTATGCATTCCCAGTGGTTTGCTAACATGTAAGTCAGAAACTGGAACGCTGTGCCATTCCAGCTTGTGGCTTGCAGGAGACCGGGGGGTAGCACCAACAGCGTGTGCTGGGACTGGGGGATCCCATCCAGGCAGGCGGGGTGTGGCCGGGGAGCTTTCAGTGGGGCCTGGGTCAGAACATGTGCCAGGACCTTGGAACCCCGGTGGGTGGGCAGAGCTCCAGGCCAGCACACCACCCCACTGGAGAACTGGGCTTGGAAGGCTGGGCTGGGGAATCCATGGGCTCACGGGCACAGGGACTGTGGCTTCATCTGGGGTAGGGAGGTCTGCTGAGGGACGCCCACCAACATCTCGGCAGCACTTGTAGATAAATGAGGGGGCTGAGACCAGGCTGTTGGGACGGGAGAGGCCCAAGGACCTAGTTTTTTTTTTTTTTTTTAATGGAATGCTGGTTTTATAAATCCTGCTGGTTATTTTCAAGCCTTGAACCTTTCATACAAGAGGAACCTTCATGGACAGCACTGTATCCACACTTCGTGGCTTCTGCTTCCCTAGCTCAGCGATGCAATCTACCCAAAGCTCAGAACAAGGAGCCCGTGATGGTCACGTTAAACTTGTTGCTCCGTGTATCACAAACAAGACCCCTCTTGGTCTGATGAGGGATATTTGTATTTGTAAAAATATTTGAAAGATAGGATGAACAACAGTGGAAGATCTCTCATCCGCCAATTCCTCCCAGTAGAGCTGCAGTGAGTAGGGCTGGGGGAAGGGCCGGGCCTCCAGCTGCCTGCCGCTTTCCCAGGAACCTTGGGGCACAGCTGGCCTGGAACACAGCACGGGGCACAGTGGCAGGTGCTGGCCGTCACTGCTCTCCTGACCTACAGGCCAACAAGTCTAATTTCAGGAGACTTGTGACCTCATCAAGGGTCCTTCAGGTTTATACTCTACCTTGTGTTTTAAGTCCAATTCTCCAAATTTTTTACTGGAGGGAGGAACATAAACGACCAGTACTGAAACAATCTGAGGGCAGTGCTGAAAGTGCAGAATGTCCTGTGGAGTCCTCTGCCTACCTGGGTTCTGAGGTCTAAGGGGGATTACATGTTACACAGCGTCCAGATTCACTCTGCAAATGGCTGCGCCAAGGCCAGAAGCCACCTTTGGGTGGGTCTCGGTACAGGGCCTGTGGGGCCACACCGCCAGCAATTGCACTTGGAGTCTAGCAATGTATCACCCCAAATCTGGACTATTTTCCCTTAAAGTAAGCAATGGTCACATACAAGGACTGTTGATTCCCTAGTTCCTGGCCCACACAGGCATGCTGAGAAGTTTGGTTAAATAGAAGCAGACATTTTTTGGGTCTGGTTTGGTTAAGCCTAGTAGCTAAAGTCCTCCCCTTGCACACATCAGGATCCCTTATGGATGCCAGTTTGTGTCTTGGTGGTCCTATTTCCCATCCAGCTCCCTGCTTGTGGCCTGGGAAAGCAGTCGAGGACGGCCCAAAGCCCTGGGACCCTGCACCCGTGTGGGAGAGCTGGAGCAAGCTCCTGGCTCTAAAAAGATTATTTTATTGGAAATTGAGATGTACAGAGACAGATCCATCTACTGGTTCACTTCCCAAGTGGCTTCAACACCTGCAACTGAGCCGATCCAAAGCCAGGAGCTTCCTCCAGATGCCATGTGGGTGTGGGGTCCCAAGGCTTTGGGCTGTCCTTGACTGCTCTTCAGGCCTCAAGCAGGGAGCTGGATGGAAGTGGGGTGGCTGGAACGTGAACCAGTGCCTATTAAGGATCGTGGCGCATGCAGGGGGAGGATTTTAGTCACTAGGCTACTGAACCAGGCCCAGCAGCAGACATTTGAGGTATCAAGTTGTACTGTTTCAATATCCCAAGCTGTTTCAAGGTTAACAGTGACAGTTGCGAACAGCAAGCTAACTCATTGCCTGTGGTGGCAACACCCCATACGCTTGTTTGTGTCCTGGCTGCTCCGCTTTCCGTCCAGCTTTCCGTCCAGCTCCTTGCTCGTGGCTTGGCAAAGCAGTGCAGAAGGGCTCAAGTCCCTGGCGTCTACACCCACATGAAGGCCCAAGCTCCATTTGGGGAGTAAACCAGCGGATGATCTGTCTCTACAGGGAGAAAAGTGCATGTCGAAGAACAGGGACACATCTTCTAGCCACAGGCTCCACCAGCTTTCAGTAACGACACATCCCGGCCACCAACACCGTCGACCTGGCCTCAGTGGCAGCACGGGGATGCTTGATCCCAAAGGCTCACACAACACGCCGCAGTCAGCACGTCAGGGAGAGACTGCGAGGGTCATTGTTGAAAACCCCAACCAATCTTTATTTCCTTATTCGGAACAGAATACATAGAGGTCACATAAAAAGTAATCAGTCAAATCCAAACCTGCCAAACTAAACCTTCTGACCGACTTCTGGTTCAGACGGCCAAGCACTGTGTGCCAAACGCACGTCCTCATCTGGTGGTTCTGAGAGCTCAACAAGGCACATGAGGACAGCAGACACGGCAGCCATCCTGCTGCCTGCGTGCATCCTGCTGCTTCTCACCCTCGGCACCAGAAACCGTCCTCGATGGTCTTGGTAACGAGCATAACCCTGGACGTTCGTCTGTGACAGGGCTGCTGGCACGGTCATGTCAGGGCCCTCCGGCAGGTGCCTCATGGCATCCCACCCACGACTTGCCCCCCAGCAGATGAAATCTCCACTCACAAACCCAGCACAACTTCAAGTGGAAAGAAAAACACAAAGGGGGAACTCTCTGGAAGCTCAAGTCCCTCACCGGCGTGAAGTGCTATCTCTTCACGTCTCACTCCTTAAGGCAGAACTTGAACAAGCTGTATTCAAACCAGTGTTTCGTCTATCAGTTATTTCACTGCTCAGCAACCACATTCAAACAGTGCTGTAGTTTCAAAGAAAAAAAATCACTGCCCAAGCCTGAACTCTGGGTGCTCGTAGGGAACGCCCAGTCAGCAGTGCTTCAACCTGCACACTTCTGCTGAAAACAGAGAAGGGTTCGAAGCAACAATAAAGGAGTAAATATTTGGTAGCAAGTCAGCTTTTAATTAAAGAATACCATTCATTTAAATAAGACTTTTTGCCAAGTGTTCCAGTTGCTGCAGAGGGCCGAGGAAGCCCCACTGTGTGTCCTGAGGCCCTGTGTCCGTCCCCCAGGAGATGTAGACTTTCGCTGGCACAGGGGTGCAGAGGGGACGGGAAACGAGGGCCCAATCAATCCAGTTTCTGTTACAGTACTCATTTCCAGCAAGGAAAAAACCACCAAAGAAACCTCGAGTCTTAAAAATACACAGAACGTCATCTTTGCATTCCTTTCCAAACACAAAGTATGTACAGCATGTTTAATAGTATGCAATATGCAAAAGCTCTGTGTTGCTGTTAGCAACTTCACTCCCACCCGCCCTCCATATTCACCAGTGTGCCTCTACTAAACACAGTTACATCACTAAGCCTGTTAGTTTGAGAGGGTCTTAAGCTTGTTAGAATTGGAAAATCTTTGTGTAGGGGCTCCACTCATTTGCCTCAAGATTGTAGACTTCCACAGTATTCAGAAACTCGTTGCCATCGAACCCTCCCACCGCATAGATGGTGTTCCCCACAGTTGTGACGCCGGCGTTGCTTCTGGGGGAGGTCATGTTCCCCATCACCTTCCACTCGTTCCTGGCTGGGTCATACATCTCCACACAGCTGATGGCGTGAGAACCATCAAAGCCACCACCTACAAACAGCTTTCCTGCAAGACAGACAAGCGGGTGAGTCCGGAGCTCGGTGTACAAGGGGCAGCCCAGGTCTGCCCTGCTTCAAAAATGTAATTCAGCGTCATCATTCAATGCCTACCTACTGTTGGGGCACACGCTTGTTTAATACAAATACCAACTGCCAACCCAGAGCTTAGGAAAACTTAAAGGGTTCCACGGCAGTTCCCTGGGGCACTTACAATTACCCAAGGAATAAGACAGAATTGGCAGCTTGCAAACTGCCACAATAAGTGGCAAATTCCAAGATTTCTTTTTCCGATTTTTCCGCTAATCCATCACACAGAACTCAGAGCCCAAGGCAGTTCTAGAGAAGCAGGTTTCAGGTAACTGAAAGACTTCTCAAAGGGCCCAGAGAAGGATGCTGCTCACTCCTATGTCTGCACACAGCTCTCTCCAGATGAACTAGCATTCCACAACCAGTGCTAAGACATCACCACTCCACAGCCAAAAATCAAGGAGAATGTTTATTTTTATCCGCAGGTTTTGTTTCTGGACAGGCATGGAGTATATATAATTTTAAAAACTAGTATTTCCCGGTTACCTTGTTTTGCAAATAAAACAAATTTTTGTTCTCAAGAAAGGGAAATTCAAAATCCACAATGATGCATAAAGGACAATGACTTAAGAATTTATTAAATTTTGTCAATATTTGGATGCACTGACTAGAGCAATGCATAAGTCATTTCTAGAGGCCAGTGCTGGCATGCAATGCGGTGCTGGTTTGAGTCCTAGCGCTCCGCTTCTGACCCAGCTCCCTGCCAGAGGCCTGGGAAAGCAGCAGAGGATGACCCAGGCTCCTTGGCTCCTGAACTCATGTGGGAAGCCTAGAAGCTCCTGGCTCCTAGGTTTAGCCTGGCCCAGTCCTGGCTGTCGCAATCATACTGGGAGTGAGCTGGCAGATGGAAGCTTTCTCTCTCCCCCTCTATAATTCCAAACCTTAATTCAAAATTTAAAAAAAAAGGAAAAAGTTCTAAAAGTAAACTTGATGCCCACCTGCACTGCCACAATGACTGCTGCTCGATACATGTCGCAGAATTCCAGAACAGACTTGGCCGAGCACTTACCATCAAGAACTGCTACTCCAGCTCCCCGCCTTGCCACGTTCATGGGTGCAATTAAACTCCAAGTGTTATTTTCAGGATTGTAACGTTCTACTGTGTTCAGACAATTCCAAGATTCTGCACCTCCAATTATATACAAGTAACCAGCAAGCTCACAGACTGCAGACTGGTGTCTACCTGTGAAATCAAGTCACATCAAGACGTTACCACAACATCTCCCACCAGTGTGAAGTACTCAGCACTCTTAAAAGTAAGAAATGAACTTACGGATGTTGAGAGGAGCACAGCTTGTCCACACCTTTGTTACAGGGTCAAACACATCGCAGTTTTTCAGTCCTTTTTGGCCGTAAGGGTCAGAGCCACCGATGATGTATAACTTCCCATTGAGAGCACACACTCCTGCATTGCAGCGGTTTGTTCTCAGCTCCGGGACTGGAGTCCAGTCATCTAGGTTTGGGTCATACATCTCTCCACAACTCAGGTCATCAGAGTGGCCGTTGGATCCACCCACCACGTACAGCCGGCCCTACAAGGCCAAAGATGGAATTAGGCCACCCTGGGTCGGTGAGGCCAAACAGGAATTGCTTCTGCAACACAATATGCTTACCATCAGCACAGCCATCTGAAACCGAGCTCGCGGGGTGCGCATTGGCGCAAGGAAGGACCAGTGATCCGTCCGCGGATCGTAGCATTCCACCGTCCGCAGACACTCCTCTCTGTTATAGCCACCTGGAGTGAGAACCACAAAAACGCCCACAATGAGCCTCAGGACCAGGCCTTACTGGATCAACACTACGAGGGCGAGACAATTCGACTAAGCTGCCACTGGCCTTGAAAACTGACACAGGAAATTTATCCACAGAAGTGCTTCAAAGCCAGAATCACCATTGACCTTACTGGCCATGTGCTGTTTCCTTGGGGAGCAACAGAAGGCATCTCAAACCCTCCCAAAGTCAGCATGCAACACGCAAGGGCGATGTCCATCCCAGGCTGAGCCAGGTCAACACTTGGGAGGCACAAGGGGTCTCTTACCTGCAGCTATGAGTCGGCCGTTCATCTCTGCGGTCCCCAGGCCAGAGCGTGCATACTGCATAGGAGACATGGCCTTCTCTATGAGCTCATCTGGGTGCATCTCAAAACTTAAACTCTTAATTAGTTTTGGAGTACTTGTTGGTGAACTCTGTGGGCTGTTTCGCCCATGGAGGAAAATAACACAGAATATGCCATCCAGCACAGCCAGGCACAAGTAAGTGTTATCTGCAAGCATAAGAGTTCCATGTTGGAGATGCGGTGTTCACTACCTCTGGTTCCTGTATGATCCTCAACTGGACTCCGCAGTCTCTGGTTCCCAGGGCGGAACAATCTATTGCTTTCCGAATGTGACCGCTTTTGCGTTTCGTCCTCCAATCTACTGGAGTATTAAACGGACAACACTCCCCGACAGACACACGGAGAGCGGACAACTGTCATCTACTTACTTGAGGTCTTCTCCGAAGCAACGATTTTCCACTCATGCTTAGGGCTGGAAGAGGACAGACACCCGGCGGAGCTGCCACTGAGCTGCTTGTGGCCATTCTCACGTGGCGGCTTTTTCTGCAAAACCAAAAGGCAGCTACAGACACCTCCCAGGGACTGCAGGTGGGCACCTCGTACCTGAGCTACCTGATGCCACTGCGCACACCACGCAGCCCAAACCCGCGTGGGACTCCTCAGCACGCGACATTTTGCAGAACCAGCACTTTCCAACTGACGGAAACCACTCTAATGAGCAAGGCACAACTACACAACTACCCTAGTCAGAAACTGAGGTCGGCTGGAGACATTCAAAGACACTACAGTCCACTGAGCCGTACAAGAGGGTGGAGGGAAGGGGAAAAAAACCAACGAAAATCCACCTCATTCACAACCTTCCCACAGACGCGGCATGGTATGAATTAACTAGGCCAACATACTTAACCCACTGTCTCCATGAGACTAAACCACAGGTAGTACCACCCTCTACACCATGCCAGCATAAGCTCAGCTAGTCTTACCAAAGCATCTGAAAGGGAAGGAGCGGCTACTCCAACAATCATTAAAAGCTTATTTCTTCTGTGCTACTTTAATGATAGAATGGGAGTTCAGAGAACCACCCCCACCAGAGCATGCAGGAGCATTATGGGGGAGAAATGGGGCAATGCCGCCACCTCCTACACCTGCCGAGGGATGGGCTTCTGGGGCATCCTTCCAGTCAGGACAGCCCCGGCCACTCACGGGAAGAACCACGAGCCCCGAGAGCAGCAGCCAAATGCACACCTTCACCTCACGACTCATCCTGGGGCCCGCGGCCACAACACATCACTAAGCTTTCCGTTAGGGTAGAAACAAAAAGCTATCAGAACAAGCGGAAGATGCTGGTAGCTCTAAAAGGCTAGGCCCAGGTGGTTCAGCGAGTGTGCTACGAGGAAAGAGGACAGCGCCCACCCCTGGCTATCCGAGCTCCACTTGAGGTACCCTCCCCCTGAAGCCATTTCAGACTGAACTGTCACAGCTCAGAATTATGCACTGCCTAAGGCAACTCAGCTAAAACAAACATTAGCCATGCTATGAACTCTGACAGGCTAGTGTCACAAAAATACTAAAAAAACTGCTATAAAATAGCCGATCTTTTCTGCTATTATGAACTACGAAGTATATAAAATCCACTCTCAACTGGTAAGAACAGGTCCCAAGGACCTGGTGCAGTCGCCTAGTGGCTTAAATCCTTGCCTTGCATGTACTAGGATCCCATATGGGTGCTGGTTTGTGTCCCAGCAGCTCCACTTCCCACCCAGCTCCCTGCTTGTGGCCCGGGAAAGCAGTCGAGGACGGCCCAAAGCCTGGGGACCCTGCACCCGCGTGGGAGAGTCCGAAGAAGCTCCTGGCTTTGGATCAGCTCAGCTCCAGCCATTGCGGCCACTTAAGAGTGAACCATCAGACAGACCTTCCTCTCTGCATGTCTGACTTTCTAATTAGAAAAAAAAGAGGGATCGCAAGTGTCACTGTGGACAATACGCAGATGAAAAGATCTACCGCGCCCCAAACCTCACAGAGCAGGGCCTCAAGTTCAAGTCATGGGTCTGTCTCCAGTCCTGGCCTCCTGCTAACGCACGTGCCAAGAGGAAGCAGAGATGGCTCGGAGGAGAGTGGAGGGTGTTCCTGGTACCAAGCCTGACCCAGCCCCAGCCGTTCCAGGCAAGTGGGGAGTGAGCCAAGGAGAGGAAGGCCCTCCTGCCGTTCTGTATGAACTATAAGCAGGAGCGAGTGACCGTGAAGGGTGCTGCAGAGACAAGGAGTCCTCGAACAAGCTCGTGCCTTATCTGCCAGGAGTGATCAGTAACCTCCTTTGATCACAGCCTCCCCAGTGCAGGCAGCTTTTAGGACACTGGATTCTAACTGTCCTGCTCCTGCTCAACCTGTGGCCTCGTGTCATCTCATTCCTACAAGCCACACTTGAGAGGCCCACTCATTCTGGAAGCTTTCCCTGAATCTTCGTAGGCCATCACTGAGATCCACTTGACTCACCCTTTGTGTGCCCAAGGAGTCTCCCCTAATTCACCCGTAAGAGTGTATTATGAAACCAAACTGTGCTCTACCTTGTTTTCAAAATATCCTTCTATCAATGTGCATGTATGAACAACCCATCTTTGCCTTCACGCCTTTCCATTAAGCCCTCAGGTACTACAAGCTTATCTACTAGACATGCTCGGCTGTGAGAACAAGAGTGGTCCAAGGCAAAATGTTACGAAGCTGAACATGTCCAGACTGCTGCCACTGAACAGGCAGCTGTCCACCTAACATTCATGAACGCATACACATCTTTGTTCAACACCAGTGCCTTGCACTCACTCCCGTCTCTCCCTCGGCTGTCAACCTACACTTGGCCGCCTTCACCCACTTGCCCAGCCTTCCCTTCTGCAGTGCCTGGGAGGCCACCAAGCACAGCCTCTGTCCAGTGCATCTCCACCTGCCAGCTCAACTTCTGGAGTTCCCAAGCTGCTCCACTAGCGCCTGGTCTGTCCCCTCACCTCTGCTGCATTCTCCCCGTACACGTCTATGCACTTCTGCCCCATCCTTCCTCCCCGCCCAGCAAGCACAAGCTAACCCTTCCATACTTGGTGGACCCATGCCAAGCGTCACAGCCTGTCACTGGCTGGGCCGTCTCTGCTGACTGAAAAGGTACTCTTGGGCCCTGCACAGTAGCCTAGTGGCTAATGTCCTTGCCTTGCACGCACCAGGATCCCTTATCAGCATCAGTTCATGTCCCAGCTGCTCCACTCCCTGCTTGTGGCCTGGGAAAGCAGTGGAGGACGGCCCAAAGCCTTGGGACCCTGCATCCACGTGGGAGACCCAGGAGAAGCTCCTGGCTTTGGATCAGCTCACATCCTCCGGCTGTGGAGGCCGCTTGGGGAGCATACCAGCGGATGGAAGATCTTTCTGTATCTACTTCTTTCTGTATATCTACCTTTCCCATAAAAATAAATGTCTTTTTTTAAAAAAAAGGGGGATTCATGTTAATGTAAGGGGCTGGCACTGTGGCTCCACAGGCTAGTCTTCTACCTGCAGGCATCAGCATCCCACAAGCCCTGCCGCTCCACTTCCCATTGAGCTCCCTTTGTGTCTGGGAGAGCAGTGGAGAGCCCAAGTCCCTGGGCCCCTACAGCCACATGGGAGACCCAAATGAAGCTCTCAGCTTCACACAGGCTCAGCTCCAGCCACTGTGACCATATGAGGAGTGAACCAGTGCATGCAAGATCTCTCTCTTCTAAGTCTGTATTTCAAATAAAAATAAATCAAAAAAAGCTTAAAATGGTTACTTTAGGAAGGGAAATACCCTATTCAAGGCAATCAAAATTCTCAACTTGCTCAAACACAACAACCATTTCAAAATTAAATGCAGCCCGTCCCCAGCGCCAGACATCCCAGTGAACTAACACAGGGAGGACATGACCATCCCGGCTGCACTCGCCCACGCACGCTTTCCGTAACTGGGGCCCATTCACACTGCTTTATAGCTTAACCCCCGTACAAACCAATGCTGAACTAAAGAATGCTTCAGGACCATTCATGCAGATGCTCAAAGTGGGCAGACTCATCCTGCTGGCAGCAAGCTGGAAGCAGGGAGGGGGAGAGGGCACAGTGACGGCAGGGCCTGCCACCTGGCGGGTCTTATCGGCTGAGTCATCACTCTGGGACACCTGCAGTTGGTCCGTGTTCTGGATGCCCCTTGTTCATAAGCTAAAAATGCCCATAAATATCTGTTCCCATCCCGTGTCCCACCCCCAACCAAGAGCAAGAGTCAGGAAGGCTTCGTGCAGGCAGATGGCTCAGTAAGGACAGGGGACATGCCTTCTAACGTGTCACTGACCCTTAGGTTTAGAACACTGTATACAGACTTCACTTGTCACTTCTAACTCAAGAAAGAAGGGTATGAAATATCCAAACAAGTTGTCCACCACTGAAGCATCACCCCAGCACTCAACTCTGCCCGTTAGTCAGGTGTGTGCAAGACACTATTTTTGATAATGTAACCAAAATAACACTTTTTGTTAAAGTGCTTCGTCTTACTGGCCCTTTTTCTTCCTACTTTTAAGTCCTACCTATTTTACGAGGGAGAAAAAACCCTGACACATGGAGTTTCCTAATCTGTTCATTTCTCCTCATGTGGCAAAAATGCCAGGAACTCCAAGAGACGTTTTCTCCCGAGAATGTGTCATTTCTGTCCAGTTACATCAGTGAAAGTCATCTGCTTTCCTTTATTAAAGGAAAATGTATATGCTACAGGACTCGCTAATCAAACTTGAAGCTGAGGTTACCTCAGACTGTGCAATGTGTACCTGCACAAACTGAATGTGGTCATCATCACTGCCAAACACCTCAGCCTGTCCTTCTAGAAGGTTCCCATCAAGCAGCTTGTGATGAGCTGAGTAGTACAAGGTCTGAACCTGCAAGACAGCAACACAACACCATGTGGCTCCGCAGTGCGCAGGCCGTCCCCGACGCCGCTGGCACCCCGCGCTGCTTGCGCTGCTCCACGTCTGACTCTGGCCGGTCAAGAAGCACACAGTCTACTGGGTCACCTCCTCGGCTTCCCTGGCTTCAAGGAACCTACTCTCCAACGGTAATATGCATACACTCGGTAAAGCATACATATTTCCAACAAAATAATCAATGTGGTTGACACCTTTGAAGAAAAATGGTCTGATGTGCATCAACACATTTCTTTCCTGCGGACAATGTCAAGAAAAACAAAAAAACAAATGCAAAAATCCAAGCAAGTTGTAGAGGTTATCTCCCCGGCAGATGCTAACAAGGGCTACAGTGTCTAATCTCAGGTGGGGACCTCACAGGAGCGTGTGTCACCCCTTCCAGGACACCGGGAGGGCGTTCTCCTCAGCCTGGAACTCGGGTACCCACTGGCCCACCTGTGTGTTTTTATAATTCCTACCATTTTCTGCATCAACTCTGTTGCTCTTGCATATTTTAAAAAGTAGCCCAAGTTACATAAGTGGTTGCATGTGTGAACACCACCGATGGGGGAAAAAAAAAAGCTTAAAGAGAAGAATCCTGTAAGGAGTAAACACCGTTAAATCATCATGGCTCTCTGCCCACAGCGGGTTTTCTTAGGAGAGCCTGGGCAGGACGCTGCTTCTTTGCGTGTCAAGACACTGGAGCTTTCTTCGGCCTCTTCAGTCTTGGGTATCCTAGTTTTGTTAATAAACCTATGGGGAGATAAATCAATGGGGAGGAACAACCATTAGAAGCTTTTACCTACTTGTCACTTAAAGCAAAAACCTGTGAAGAAAAATCAAGAATCTACAGAAAATTTCAGTACCACCTCCCATTTCTAAAGCAAATTACATGCCACTTTAAAGAAAGTTAAATAGCACATAATGAGCAAAGAAATAAAAAAGGAAAGCAGAAGACCAGACTGAACGGTTCAGTCAGCTCACCTGGACACCCCCCGCTCTCAGCTTAGGGGTACCTACAGCAAAATTTAAATTCTTCAGGGTCATGGTTGTGAAATAAAAGTGAAAGGGAATCCTTCACGTTATAGCAAAATATTTCTTAAGAATTGCTCCATCCCATTTACTTTACAACTAACCTCTTCCAGCAGCTCCTCCAGACTGTCTCCGTGCTCCCAGATGCTACGCTGCACCCAGTTGATTACCTTTGTGTATAACTTGCCGTTGCTGGGCAGGCAGGCATTCTCTTCAAGCATCACCTCCAACTAAAGTCAGGGAGACAACACGGCCGTCAGTGTGCAACTTCCAATTCCGGCCTCAATTTCAATCTCAGTAAACTTGTCACCAATTTCACACAAATCGTAAGAGTAAAGCAGCAGCCGAGCCTACTGCACTGCCAAGATTTATCATCTCAAACGCCCGTTTCAGCACCATGACTCACTGGCTCCGGGCAGACACTGTGCCTGGAACTAGCGACTTCTAGCAGCTTCTGTTTTCACTCCCTACCTTTAGCCGTGGAAGTTTAAGAAACTCCTCCTCTTCTGAAATTTGTAGCAAATGCTCCTGAATGTAGGCATCGACCTTATTCAACAAACGAGAGTCTCCCATACAACTTGCAAAGTTTCGGTAGGAAATGCAGCTGGTTATATCCATTCTAGACAGCAAATAATCACCACAAACCTTGGGAGAGAAATGTACGTCGTCAATCTTCACATTCATTCTGTCCAGCAAGTCCTACCTGACAGCAGCATGCACGCGCTATCAAAAGATGCACAGCTGAATCAAAAATTTAAAAACCACCAGTTTAACAGCGGGAATCAAACATCGACAATCAACCGCCTGAGCTGCTGGAGGTGAGAGAGTGATGGGCATTACAGCCATGAGCTGCGCTTCCCAGGAGGCGGTGCCAGAGCAGGCCCTACCAGAGGGCAGGGGTGTGCAGGTGCACAAAGCAAGTGGGGAAGATACAGCAGACAAACAGGCTGTAAAAAACATAAGAAAACTGGGAAATCATTTTGGGAATGGCAACTGCAACAGCAGAATCCGTAACAGGAGGGAAGGCCGGCAGATCTTAAAGAACCAGCCAATAGGCACTGCAGGTTTGTGAGCCACACACTGTGGCTGGAGGGCAGCTGCAGGTCACAGTGCGAACAGCTACACAGGGCTATGTTCCAATGAGCTTGGCAGAGAAGCCCACATCCTTGGGCTGGGAATCAGTAAGTGCTTCTCACAGACTAAGGGAGGGAGAGCAAGCTCAGAGCAGAGCGCCGAGGACTGAAGGCACGAGGTGAACACAAGGAAAAGCAGAATAGTTTATGTCATCAGACGCCGGCACAGCCACCCTGCCAAAAAAACTGTGAAAAGACCAAGATTTGAGCCAGAACGCCTTCTGAGTGGCACGTGTGATCTGTTCCATCACTATTTCAGCCAACCAGAATAACATACCGTGATTTTTGGGTAAGAGACTAAGCAAATGTCTTAGGACAACTCCCACATAGATCCTCAAGGTCAGACTGTGGAGTTAGTGACCCCTGCACCGAGGGGACCGATACTCTACCTGCTTCACTCTGTCCATCTTCAGCTTTTTTGCTGCAGAATAAACATCTTTTACTAATTCTTTATCCGCTTTCAACCTAAAAAAAGGAAGTTTGTTATATTTATGATACCAAGGCCTTAAAATGCAATCACTTCAATCATTTAGAGATGTGGAATTTCCTAACGCTATCTTCCTCGTTCGTGCTTTACTTACTGAGCAGTGTACGCATAGTTCAGCAGGACTTCCACGGCCTCTGGATTGAGATCATCCAGTTTCACGTGAGAAACTCCGTGAGGGTCACTGTCGCTGTTGAAGATTTCAAATAAGTAGGGGCTGCAGCAGGCCAGCACTGCTCTGTGGGCCAGCATCTCGTGGCCGCAGACCTGAGGTGCGGGAGAGCGGGCATGAGAGGCAGGCACAGGCAGGGAACGAGCCAGCCGCCTCCCATGGCTAACACACGTCAAAGTCCTTTCGTTAAATGCCTCAAAAAAAAAAAAAAAAAAAAAAAAATCCTCGATTCCCCAAGTTTCCAAAGAGGTTTGAAATACCTGCAGGCGCACATCACAGAACTGGCCACTTTTCCTCAGGGCATTCAATTTGGCAACAGAAGACTCAATAAAATTCTCATCTTCAAACATCAAATATCCATTGGGAATCATTTTTTCCTTGTAATTTTAGCTAAGTGGCAGAAAGAGCTGAGTTATTTTACTTACAGATGGTGGTTTCTAAAAGTTCAAATGCTAACACACTATCTTTATTCTCCATTTTATTTTAGCAGTGGCACACAAAAGCTAACACCACGGGCTGGGGCGTGACGAGCACCCCACATGCAGACACGCCGCCGGCTCAGACGGGCACCCCACAGGTATTGCAGTTTGTGTCCTGCCTGCTCTAACTTCCAGCCCAGCTCACTGTTAATGTCCCCAGAAAAGCAGTGAAGATGGCCCGAGGCCTTGGGCTTCTGCATCCATGTTGGAGGTCCAAAAGAAACTCCTGGATTCCACCTGGCCTAGCCCTGGCTGATGCAGTCATTTGGGGAATAAACCTGCTGGTAATTTCTCTAATTCTGCTTTTCAAATAACTAAATAAGCAAATCTTTTTTAAAAAAATCTTATCATGGGGCCCGGTGTGGTAGCCTAGCGGCTAACATCCTTGCCTTGGCATGCACCAGGATCCCATATGGACGCCAGTTCTAACCCTGGCCAACCTGCTTCCCATCCAGCTCCCTGCCTGTGGCCTGGGAAAGCAGTCAAGGACGGCCCAAAGCCTTGGGACCCTGCACTTGCTTGGGAGACCTGGAAGAGGCTCCTGTCTCCTGGCTTCAGATCGGCTCGACTCTGGCCGTTGTGGCCACTAGGGGAGTGAATCAGTGGACACATCTTTCTGTTTTTCCTCCTCTCTGTATATCTGCCTTTTCAGTAATAAATAAATAAATCCTTTAAAAAATGTATCACATTGAACTTGGCTAGAACAACTCCGGCACTAAATGGCCTAGAGCCTGTGCAGGCCCACCCCCTGATCCTGCTCAACAACTGCACAGCCTGCAGAAGCCCATGTGCATGTGGCAACCCTGGCGCAGAGCGAGCTCCTTGGATCTGGGGTGCTACGCCTTCATGGTGGACACCTCAGAGCCAAGGCTGCTTCCTGCGGCTTCCTTCCCTCTGTCCCGCAAAGCTACCTATAACCAGATGTAGCTGTGGGCCACTGCCAGCCTTCCCCTCCTAACTCAAAACCGGAATGTCCCATCGCCGTATCTGCCTGGTGGTTTTTCACTATGTTTTGAAATACATGAGGTAAAAATGATTTTGTATCTGTTCCCTCAGCTTTCTATATTCTAAATCCCTTAACTTCTTCAGATTAAATAGAAACTTAACGCTTTTACAAAGGTTACATTTCCCCTTTACCTGTAAAGGAATGACTATACAAAATGTATTAATAAAGTTAACAAGGAGATTTCAGTTCCAAGTCAACACAGTTTAACACCGGTAAAACACTTGCACGTACACACTCCCGTCATTACAGGCCCAGGAGGGCACCCCGCGCCTCCTTCAGAGAAAGGGCACTCACCAGCACAGCGCCGACACAGGCCGAGACGGCTCCTTCTGCCAGCCGGCGACCCCGGGACAAAGGCGTGAAGACAGGCCGCGAAGGGAAGGCACGCGTGGCTCGCTCTACTGGTGACCCCAAAGCAACAGGCTTGAACTGATGTGCTCAAGTCCTTAACAGCTAGAGATGGGGATTTCTTCTGTGAAAGCGACGCATCGCAAGCTGTAACAAAGACAAACTCCAGTCAGCTCTGCAGCATGGACAGACCGGGCCACCAGCACCGAGGCGCACAAACTCCCCGGGGCCGAGCGCGGCGCCCATCCCAAGCGCACAGGCCTCATACCACCGAAGCACTCCTCACTTACCTGCAACTAACCTGATCATCTTTCACGTCCTTCCCCACACGGCCAGGGCTGGTGCGCATGCTTCAGCGGCACGCAGTGTCAGAGTGAGTCAACACAGCACTCCCTGGGACCCGCAGCCTTCACTGGGACCCAAACAGGGACCCGCTCCACAGACACACCACACAGCCTGGCTTCTGCAGCTTCCTCCTGCCAGCTCGTCTCCAGCTGCGCTGCCCCTACACGGGCCCCTGCCCTTCGGTCAGCCCGCAGCACCTGACGCGCCGTGAGCGGCTAGCTGATGAGGCGCTGCCCGAGCCCCCAGCGCACTTCAGATGGCCCGCCACACCAGTCTAACCCGGGAAACTGCAATTCAGTAACGACACTTAAAATAACGTGCACACTTTAAAAGCTGGACATCCTAAAACCGCCGGGGTTTGCCTTCCACAGCTATCACGCCCGTACTTCTGTCCGAGTCAGCAGCCGGGGAGCCACTGGAGGCCAGTCCAGTTCTAATGCATTCAGCTCACTACGCGTACAGTAAGTGTGGGGGCCGGAGCCCCGAATCCTAACCAGTTTCTCCATAACTGAGGCTTCATTTTAAGACAACCCGAGCACCCAGCTCGGGTTACTCCAACACTGAAACCTTTCCATGCCGTTACACAACACAGATGTCTGACCGACACGGTTATCTAGGTTAGCTAATTCAACCTTTCTTGAGAAATCAAGTCTAACGAACGTTTTCCAAAGACACAGAAAACTATCCACAGCATATTTTTAAACCTTCTACCATTTTCGGCCAGCAGCTAGCTCAATAAGGAAATCTTTTCTGTACGGTGCACGCTGGGGTGGCAGCCCACAGGTGGAGCCAGCAGCTCCTCCCTGTGCTCCACAAGTGGAAGACTCACAGCTCAAAGGCATTCCTCTTTGAAAATCAAAAACAAAATAACAATAAAAGAACCCACAAGCCCTGTCCTACACACTTCCAACATTAACCGGCTTTATTCCTGAGCCTGTCTTGATGGAGCGCTAGATGGCCCAGAACTCCTGAAGCACTCGCTGCTCAGCACTGTCAGAGCAGGACAGTGAGTCCCACGCACACGCGTGGTTTCTCAGTTCTTAATGAGCCCCACCTCTTTACTACCCATTGCTCAAAACACAGCATTAAGCTGACTTCAAAAACTAGCCCAAGTTTATATCACAATAAGTCATGTAATCTTGTTGGAAGACCTCACTCATATGTAAAGTTAGCGTAAGCGAATTAAGAGTCTTAAGCCATTCCCCCAAACATATGTCTTACTACAACTCTTCTTCGCTCATGAAACCCAAGCACAGTAGCTAATGAGGAAAAAACTCCTTTGAAAAGGTCAATCAAAAGCCATGTACCTCAGTCATGTCACAGCAGAAAACTTAGAATTGTACCTGACATTTAACATCGTTTCAACTAACCCAAGGAGAAAACAGAAGCGGGTCAGATCAGCCTGTTCTGATCAAGACAACACATTTCAGTGGAAGAAAGGCAGGTTCGTAGGAGAGCAGCCCGCTGAAATGAGCTTCACTGAGTACAGCTCAACAGGTCAAGAGCCCTGAACACAGGCAGTTCGGCCTCGCCCCAACTGGCTCCTGCAAGCTAATGCTGTCACCTTCCACAGCGCCCTCAGGGCCTCGGGCTCTCCCAGGCAGGCAGGCCCACTCCCAAGACCAAGGTCACCACCACCACTGCAAAGCCACTCGCTCCACCACACCAACACCGGGCACCCAACGCGGCAGACACGGCTGCAAGGCAATGCCCTGATCAAGCAGCCAGGAAGACAGAGAAGCAGAACAGTGAAACTGGGACAAAGCGGGGAAGCCTATGACAGCACACAAATTCCAGAAGCTGCAGCTGCTGTGGCTTCAGGAGGCTCCATTCGCAGGATGCAAGGCCAATGTGCGAGAGGAAGTGAGACCAGCTCGCAGGGCGCCTCAGCCTGGCTGTGGGACAGCCTTGTCAGCACTACCAACTTCAGGAAGCACAACAAGCTCGTTCTCAGCACCACGCGAAGGGGAAGAAAAGCAAGAATTACTACACGTGGGGCAGAGCAAACACTGCAGGTGGTAAGGTCCCAAGCTCAGACTCCCGTGTTTTCGGCGGCGCTAACAAAAGCCCAGGAATCGCCCTCTACCCAGCACAGGGCCCCAGCAGGTGCACGGCCGACAACCTCGACCTCGGAGCAGCCCAGAGACAGATACTTTATCGCAGCATCTAAGAGGAAAATGTTTCTTCCAACAGGAAAACACCTAAGTAGCTACAAAACCACCTCCACCTGCCCCCTGAAATGCGGCGGTTGAAAACAACAAAACCTCGGCTTGCAAAGGCAAGAAACCAAGAGACACGAACGGAGAAGCCACACTACACCGGAGATGCTCGGGCCCGGGGAGGAAGCGGATAGGAACCCCGGACAATGGCCACCCGGTGGGCCGTCGGTGGCGGGCCGTGGGCACGGGCGCGGGCCGTGGGCGGTAGACGCGGGCCGTGGGCGGTAGACGCGGGCCGTGGGCGGTAGACGCGGGCCGTGGACGCGGCCGCCCCACGCGCCCCGCGGGACCCTCCCCGCGCCCGCCGCGCGCCATTGGCGGGCCCCGCAGTCGCTCAGGGCCGCCCCGCCCCGCGCCGGGGCCCGAGACGCGGGCAGCGCGGAGCGGGAACAAAGGCCCGCGGCGCCGCCCACTGCGGCCCGGCCGAGGACCCCGCGCTCCGGGGCGGGAAGCGGCCGGCCCGCGCGCCTCACCTGGCTCATGGCGGGGCAGACGGGGAAGCTCATGTCTGGCGCCGCGACGGGCAGCAGCAAGCGGGGCCGGCGGCCGAGGGCGAGCGCAGGCGGCAGGGGGCCGCGAGGCGGCAGGGGACCGCGCGGCCCGTCCGCGGGGCAGGGGCCGGCCGAGGATCGCGGCTGCCGCTCCCGCCGCTCCGCTGCTGCGCTCCGCCGCCGCCCGCCGCCCAGCGCCCGACCTCCGCGCGCGGCCGCCCACTCGGCACGTCAGCACGTGCGCCCGGCCCGCTTCCGCCCGGCCCGCCGGCCAATCACGGCCCGGCGTCCGCCCGGCCCCGCCCCGGCGTCCGGCCCCGCCCCGGCGCCCGGCCCCGCCCCGGCGCTCCGCGCGCTCGGCCCGCGCCAGGCGGCTGAGGAGATGGCGGCGTGGCCGCTGCGGGGCCTCGTGGCAGCGGCCGCCCCCGGGCTTCGGGCTTCGGCGCGCCAGCGGGGCCGCTCCGGGCGGCCGCGGGAAAGCTGGTCTGCGCCTCGCGCCGCCGCCTGCGCCCGGCCTGTGCCCCGGGGTCCCGGGCGGCTCCCAGGGGAGGGGCTGAGGTGCGTGAGTTCTAGACCCTTCCACGCGGCGATCACACGCCTGAGCTCTAGGCGTGTGGGGAGGACCTGGCGTCCCCGCCTCGCTGGCCGCGGGGTCTTTGTGAGCCAAGACAGGCCGCTGTTAAAGACCCAGCGATCCCCGAGGCACGGATGCACCCTTACCCGCCCTTGTTGGCCTCTGAGGAGCAGACTGCCCCGACTGTCCATAACTGTGAAAATGGGCTGAAACTTGGAAACTTAACCTACCTGAGGGTCATTTCAACTTTTTAAAGATCTGTTTACACCTCTTGCTGCTGGGGCCAAGTCAAAGCCGGGCGCCTCCTCCGGGACTGGGGCCACTGCCTTCCCCCATCGCAAGCACAGAGCTGGGGCGGCCATAGGGGATGCCAGCCCTCAGGGCGGGCCCCCACAGGCTCATCTTGCCCCTGCTCCTGCCGTGGGCACGCTGTCCCCTCCCAGAATGTGGCTGGTGGGTATTTCACCCCATCGCTTTGCTAGGACTGCATGACCAAGTGCCACACGGTGACTTGAACTAACGGGTGGCTCCACAGACGGGGAGGCTGGCTTCAGTGCAGAGGTGCAGGGCCAGGCTGCAGACCTCTGTCACGCCTCAGGTGGCAGCTCTGCCTGCGGCCAGGTGACTCCGTTTGGGCGGTGAGCATGTCTGCCCAGACTTGCCCCATTTAAAAGGGCACAGCAGGGCCGGTGCTAGGGCATGGTACAAGAAGCTTCCGTGTGTTGCTGGTTCACATTCGGCTGCTCAGCTTCCCACTCAGCTCCCAGCTTCTGGCTGGGGGAGCAGCGCAGGCTGGCCCAAGCGCTCCCACCTGGGAGACCTGGAAGAAGCTCCCAGCTTTGGACCAGCTCCGCTGGCCATCTGAGTGAGCCAGCAGACGGAAGATCTCAGTCTCTCAGAATCTGTTTTTGCACACCGAGTGGATTGGAAGCCCACCTCACTTGTCTTGACTAAGCCTGCAGCTACTCGGTTTCCAGGTGAAGTTACACTTGGAGGTACCAGAGTTAAGACGTCCATGAACAAATGGGCAGGGAAAGAGTCCCGGACACTTTGGAACAAGTGCGGTGTGCCCAGCACACTTGTTAGGCCCTCCGAGCGCTCTAGCTTAGGGTCAGAGGTCTGCAGGCCCGCAATGCTGCCAGCCTCCTACAGGGCACGGCACAGGGTCGGCCAGGCATGGGGCAGCTCCGTGCTGCTCAGCTGCTCCCGGCAAGTCCAGCCGCCGTCCCCACGCGCCCCGGCGCAGGAACAGCTGCCACCTCTCCCAGGTGGCTCCTCTCTGCTGTAACTAGTCATGCTAATAGTGATATGTTGATTTAATTCAATAGGGGCTCAGGGGCTCAGACAACGTGAGTCTTAGTCTTTTTTTTTTCTTTGGAAAGACAGATTTACAGAGGAGAGAGAGCTTCTGTCTGCTGGTTCACTCCCCAAGATGGCGCGATGGCTGGAGCTAAGTTGATACAAAGCCAGGAGCTTCTTCCATGTCTCCCATGTGGGTGCAGAGTCCCAATACTTTGAACTTTTCTCCACTGACTTCCCGGGCCACAGGCAGGAAGGTGGATGGGAAGTGGAGCAGCCTGGACATGAACCGGTTCCCATATGTGATGCCTGCGCTTGGAGGTGGAGGACTAGCCAATTGAGCCAACACGCCGCCCCCAGTGAGTACTAGTCTTAACCTTAGTTTTTTCTGAAGCCAAACTGTGTTCAGCTGTGTGGAAGCTTCCTTTCAAAGACCCTCATGGTATTCCAGGTGGGTATGGACAAAGAGTTGTTAGCGGGAGACAACAGCATTGCAGTGCCGGGGCTAAGCTGCTGCCTGTAGCGCTGACCTCCATCTGGGCAGCTGTCTAACTCCCAGCCACTCCACCCTGTTCCCACCCATCTTCCTGCTAACCTGCTGGGGAGGAGGCGGTGAATGGCCCAGCACTACCCGTGGCGGGGCCCCAGCTGAAGCTCCTGACCGGGACCCACCCATCCACCCCACAACGCTGCCTTGCAAATCTAAAATAGCAAGAATACTAATAATAAAGCTAGCATAGAAGCCACTGACATCTGCATCGGGCAGTCTGAACAGGGAAGGTTGAGTATGGGGTTACTTTCCACAGCTCACCCTAGCTTTGAGGGGGTGAAATGTTAGTGGCAGAGAAATCAGCCTGAAATGCACCACCCAGAGGAGGCAGCTGTTCTGAGGGACCAAGGCTGGGGCTCCCTGTGACCAAGTCCTGTGGTGGTGTGGTTGGGGGCGGGCGCTACAGGTGTCTGTGTCCAAGGGAGTTAGACCTTGCTAGAAGAGGCCCCGGGGGAGGAAGGCGCCGGGCCGTGGTGGCCACGCGGCAGCAGTGAAGGAGGCCTCTTAGAACTCCAGGGCCACGTGCTTCCCCCCCACCAGCTCTGCTGGCGACCTCTGCTCCCTCCCCCACAGAACCCTGCAGTTATATGAACCTGGATTTGAAAGAGCAAACTGTTTAAAATTATACCAGCTCCAGAAGCACACAGCTGCCAAAAATGGACACCCTGTGCAGTCTGCCCAACCTTGCCTGCGCCAGCCGCTCGTTCTGCTTGGCCCCTTGGGCACCTTCTCTGCCTTCCTTGGCAGAGGCCTGCTGGGGCCCGGGTTAGCAGGTAGCCTCACAGGTCTTCTCCATGGTGTCTATTTCAGCCGGGGCTCCTCCTTTACTGTCCCCAGCAGCCTGTCCCTTGGGCGTGGTCGTGGTGGCAGCTGGGGGTGGATAGGCAGCAGCGTCTCGCAGGTTCCCGTCCGCTTAGGGGTCCTCCACCTCTCCCCTCATGCTCATTGTTTACGCGGTGAAGCTGCTGTGTCAGGGTTCCTAGTTTTTCATCAGGCACTAAGTGCTTTGCCTGCTGGGAATGCAGCCACCTCCACCAGGGCGCCCTGGCGCGCCTCTCCGGAGTGGCCGTCTTCAGCTCTGGGTTTGGCTCCTTCAGGTGGTTGTAAGGTTCATGACCTCTTCAGAGCAGAAACAGAAAGTGGTGGTGTCACCAAAAGCATGAGAGGCGTTGGGGGAATCTTAGAGCGTCCACACTCACTTCCTCCAAAGTAGGTCATTGCAAATTGCTGTTGCAGTGTGTGGCTCGGAGAGCCTGACGCCGCTCTCCAAAACAGCTTCCTTAAGAAGTGTTCCCTTTCAGGAGCTTTCCACTCTCCCAGCGGCATCCTTAGAGGGTTTTGATCAGTATGGAGCAAACAGCTCAGATTTTTTTTTTAAGATTTATTTTTATTGAGAAGGCAGATTTACAGAGAGAGGATCTTCCATATAATGCTTCACTCCCCAAGTGGCTGCAAATGGCTGGATCTGAGCTGATCCAAAGCCAGGAGTCAGGAGCTTCTGGGTCTTCCATGTGAGGGCAGAGTCCCAAGGACTCCACTGCTTTCCCAGGGCATAAGCAAGGAGCTGGATGGAAAGTAGAGCAGCTGGGACATGAACTGACGCCCATATGGGAGGATGGCACTTGGAGTTGGAAGATTAGCCAGTTGACCCAGAACTCCAACCCCAGATTTTTAATTTTTTTTTTTTGAGCCAAGGATTGTAGAATTCTCCAAATACATCCTTCAGCATACTTGAGTTCTGAGTGTCCTTCCTTGCCATCATCCCAACAGACTGTTTTAACAGTGGCTTTTGCTAGCTTTCTTCATCATCAATGCCAGAAATTTTACCCGACACAACTATTTATGTTTTCTTGATTTGATGAAGTCAGCAGAGAGAAATCTTGCACCCACCGATGTCCGCTGACACCCAGGCAGGGCCAGGCCATAGCCAGTAGCCTAGGCTTCAGTCCAGGTCTCCCACACAGTAGCAGAAACTGAAGTACTGAGTCTTCCCTGCCACCTCCTGGGGTGCATGTGTGCAGGAAGCTGAGCTGGGACGAGAACCAGGAGGTGGGCCTCCCCCGCTGGGCCAAGCCCTGCATTGCCCAAGCTCTGAGGACAGTGCCAGCTCCCTCATCTGACAGCCGGGGTTCCCAGACAGTTTGCTCAGGAACTGCAACTTTTCAGAACAGCTCAGACTCCTCTCCTGCCTTCCCTGTTTGGACCTGTGGTCATGAGTGCTGCAGTCAGCTCCTGAATTTGATCTGCAGTTTGGGCCTTCTAAAGGAACCCTCATCTAGCCAGCTTACTAGCTGAGAATAAGAAAAGCAGGTGTAGGCAGTGTCTGCACCAAGCTGAATCTGGTCATCACCTTAATCAAATGCGTCAACAAAAGTCACCAACACATGGCAGGGTCCAAACTGTTTCAGCTAGAGACCTTCTTTTGTGATCAGATCCAAAAATAGGGTCCCTGCTGGTGACAGATGTGGTCAGCCAGTCCCTGCCTGGGGCAGTGAGGCCACTGGGGGAGTGAACGAGCAGATGGAAGATCTCTGTCTCTGTCTTTCAAATATAAATAAACTAAAAGTACCATTGTTACCTAAAGGACTCTTCTTGAGATCAGTGCCTGCCTGCCATGCTCCTCTGGAATTGGGACCCTTGGATATGGAAGTGTCAATCAGTCATCTCTTCTAAGATCTTACTAGAGAAAAACTATGAAGGAAAACTATGATGGATCAGCATTGTGGCACACAGAGAATTGAGCTGCTA